TTTTTTTTTGAATGAGAATGATCAGAAAACCGAGTCCTCAATGTAAAAAGAACCCTTAATAAGTGAGTTGACTCGCTAGTCACGGTTGGCGTCAGCCGAGTCGATAAAGAGTCGACAGTTGTGGAATGAGTGCATGTGGATTGCATGACTTGAAAAACCATTTTTTCCATTAAAAGCGCAAATCCCAATTCCACCTTCCGTTACTTACCCATCAAATCCCTCTTCTTCCCATTTTTTTCTCCCCAAAATTTTCTCTTTTTAACTGCAAAAATTCGCAGATTCAGATCCCTATCACCACCGTACTCATACGCCTCTCTCTCTCTCTCTCTCTCAATTTCGCTCCTGCTTCTCCAATGGCGGTGGTGTCACCATTAGCGAAGTACAAACTGGTGTTTCTCGGCGATCAATCGGTCGGAAAAACCAGCATCATCACGCGCTTTATGTACGACAAATTCGACACTACTTATCAGGTATCTTATTGTCTCTGTTTCTTTCACCTTTTTCATTTGATCATTTCTTTTTGTTCGTTAATTGTTGGTTAATTGTTGCCGTCGTTTTTTGTTGCTAATTGTTATTGTCTGCGATCGAATTTACGCATCAAAGTCTCTCTTCTTTTCGAACATTTTTTTTTTTTCTGTTTACCGATCGTTTTCAGGGGATGATCCAGGCTGTTCTGTTGCTTTTTTTTTTTAAAGGAAAAATAATAATATATTCTGATGAGGAATAATGTGAAATGATCGATCAAACTCCAAATCAGAAATGGAAATTTTAGGAATTTGTTGGAGGTATTTCTGAGAAGCAACCAACAATGATAATGAGCAATGTACTATAAATGGGAACCGTGATTCGAATTATTGTTGACGTTTGATTTGGTTGAGGATGATATGGATGTTGAAATTGGATTTCTCATTGAGGAGTACTATGATTATGTCTGAGACAGTACTGGATTATTTTTTGTGTTTTTTATATATCTAATTACAGAGTACAATTTTTTTTTTTTTTTAATCTCTATGCAGGCCACAATAGGCATCGATTTCTTGTCGAAAACTATGTACCTTGAAGATCGTACAGTCCGCTTGCAACTTTGGTAACATATTATTCAACTTTTCCGATTTGGCACACAGAATCGTCTTCGTTAGAATGATTGTTTTATTTGTAGTTTTAAATGTTCAAGCAAACCAACAAACATCACCAATTCTTGATGTTGCTGGTTGCAAGTCACAAAGCCCTGTTTTGTATTAAATTGTATTGTCATTTGGTGATTACCTGTTAGATTAGTATGTGATTTGTTATCCGCTTAGAGACGGAAAACTACTCCCTATGATTTCAGGGACACTGCTGGCCAAGAAAGATTCAGGAGTCTTATTCCAAGCTACATTAGAGATTCTTCAGTGGCTGTGATTGTCTATGATGTTGCCAGTAAGTAATTACTAACTATCATAGGGTGGGATCCGTTTAGAAACTCCTATTGGTTTAATAAAGCCTTGAATCTTTGTTTCGGTTAATGCTGTGAAAAAAAATGGGATTTGTAAGATTCCAGATGAATTTTTCATTCGCCTGATAGTGTTTTCCTGCAGTTTGCTATAGGTGTAGAATGTTACTTTTTAGCAGATGAAAATATGAAAAATATGTATAGTTACCCGATTCGTTTTCTCCCTTCCTAGATCGGCAGTCATTTTTGAACACATCAAAGTGGATTGAGGAAGTAAGAACCGAAAGAGGCAGCGATGTTATCATTGTTCTTGTAGGGAACAAAACTGACCTTGTCGAAAAGAGGTGAGGGAAATAAAGAAATGTTATTATTGTGCAAGTCCCCTATTTTTTGGGCTTATGACCGGTATTGATACTTTCTTTGTTAAAAATGTGTTCAATGTCCATTAGTGGCTCCCAATGTTAACTATGGTGCTTCTTTCGTACCTTTGTGCTTATTATTTTGATGAAATACAATTTTTGCCTGCTTGCACAGACAAGTCTCGATTGAAGAAGGAGATGCTAAGGCTCGTGAATTTGGTGTCATGTTCATAGAAACCAGCGCAAAAGCAGGTTTCAACATCAAGGTAAGAGCAATATCCCTGTTCCCTATATCTAATACTGCATGAAAATCCTTCTCCAAAGTTTGCCTAGAAACTCGACTTATACGGGTTACAAACTTACAACCAACATGTATACACTTGTAACGATTAATTTTAATTTGCACTTCATGGTAATTAACAGATAAAAATTAAGTAAAATTAAACTAAACACACAATCAGTTAGATGAAGTTAAAATGAATAGCTATACTATAACTTTAGGCGTAGTGTTAATTGTATATATATTATACGTCTGGGCTTTTACGTCTGGATTCTATAACATCTACGTTTTAATTTTCAATGCAGCCTCTATTCCGGAAAATAGCTGCTGCATTACCAGGTATGGAAACTCTTTCCTCCACAAAGCAGGAGGAGATGGTGGACGTCAACTTGAAGCCAACTTCAAATGCATCACATATGGAGCAGCAAGGCGGAGGCTGTGCATGTTAGATTACGTTTTTCCCCTCCTTATGCAGAAGGGAAGTAAACGAAAATGGAGCATGGGGTTTTTTCAGTGTATGAGTTTTTTCATAGTGACAAATTTATGGAGTTTAGGTAAGTTTTTAGTGAACATCTTAATTTAAAATCAGGGAAAAACAACAATCCAGTTGGTGATAAATCAGATTCAGGGGAGAGATATGCTTATGTCCAAATGATTGGAAATTGTATTTTTTGTTTTGGTTTTTGTTTTTTTGTTTTC